GCCATCAATAGTCTCAGTTACCTGCAGACTCTGTGCAACAATGCCAACTGGCAATCAAAATGATCCCATCAGTGCCTTAGTGGCAAGTCTGTTACGTGAGTTAACAATCACATTCTGATTGGATCTGATGCCGGCTCCACAGAAGAAATTCACATATGCTATAATAGGCCCAGTCCAAAGTTATAGGTAGGGTGGAAACTACTACTGTTGTTTTGCTAAATGGACATGATGTACTCATGAAATTGCCAAAGTCAAAGTTCTTTTTTTTTTCAAGACAGGGTTTCTCTGTAGCTTTGGTGCCTGTCCTGGAACTCACTCCTGCAGAACAGACCTCAAACTCACAGAGATCCACCTGCCTCTGCTTCCTGGGTGCTGGGATTAAAGGCATGTGCCACCACCGTTGGCTCCAAAGTCAAAGTCCTAAGGCTAAATGATAAATACCCAAGCATATTGGGACATCTCTGTCACCCCTCCGAGACTCAGAGTATCCCAAAAGAAGGGGAGGAAAGAATATAAGGGTTGAAGAAATGGGGGGAAGTGATGTGGGACCCTGACTTCCCGGGAATGACACGGCTGTGGTATTCTTGAACTCACAGCATCTCTGATAACCTGATCTGCATGAGATTGGGCCCAACAACATCCTTTTATGGAAGGGGGATGAGCTCAGGGGACCCCGCTCCTCCTCTAATTTATGGATTAGTTCATGGTTGATGAGATGGGAGGAGAAGCATATCTTCATTATCATAGCGACTTATAAGATCCCCCTGTAAACAAATTCTCACCATGTGCCTGTAAATAACCCTAAGGAAACACACTGAATCACCACAAAAATAAATAAATAAATAAATGACATTAAAGTAGAAGAGAGGCTAGTTGAGAAGTAGAAGATCAGCAGGAAGGGGTGAGTAAACTCCATCATGCACACATACAAAACTAACTAAGATAGATAATAAAGGCTTAAAAAAACCCAGAACATTCAAAGGCCACCTGCCTACTTCAGGATCACCACTACCCCTAAATTTGTTACCTCATCCCCACCCCTGCCCAGGAGGGCTTGCTTCTTGCTAGAACCAGAAGGTGCCTGTACCAGACCCGTACAGTTCTCAATACAGGGCAGAACTCAGGCAGGGTACACTAGCACCAACCCTCGTCCAGCCTCGTCCCACTGCTCAGCAGCCCTGGCCTGGTCACTGCACTTTTCTGGCTCCAGCTTCCTGGTGCCTTTATCCCTCTCCACTCCCTTGTCCCTGTCCTCTGCCAAATTGTTTCAAAAAAAAAGAAGAAGAAGAACTCAGGGTTCTTTGAGGTAGTGGAGAGGCTACATAAATGCAGGCATTATTAGCATCATTACCATTAAATATTAATAATGACATTAGCATTGTCTATTATAAGCCTTAAAAAAAAAAAGCTTCGGGAGCCCAGGGTTGAAATGGTAAAGAGAATAATTAGGCCCCTCTGGGCCATAGACCCCTCCAGGCCCTTAAGTGAAATTAGAAAGGCAAATGCAAGGATAGAATATGGATATTTTCTGTCTGGACCCTTACTCAGGTCAACCTAACTTCTCCTGACACTACCTAACTCCTGCTCCCTGCACAGTCCGGCTCCTCCCACCCCCATGCCCTGTGCCAGAAAAGCATCCCTGACTTTCCCCTCGTCTGTCCAGTCTGATCAAGGAGTCACTTCTCTCTGTCCCACAGAAGCCTTTATCTACCTCTGCCCACCCCATCCTCACCCTCTGACAGGTACCCGGGCACTGTCCACTGTTTACCCCGTCAGCTTGTTTTACTGGGTTTCTGCCACGTACTGGGCACTGTGCTAAGATGACCTCTTCCTCCAGATACTGCATGGCCAATATAGCAATAGAATAGCAATGGGAACTCGGAGAGCCCCGGGCAGTTCTTGGAATCCTTTAGAAATTTACTGGTTAGCCCACATGGCCACACGACTGTCCTAAACAGAAGCAAAATCATTTCCACTTTACAGAATGGGTTATGGGAATGGAAACTGGAAATGCACGCCCATTGAGGGAGTGCTTGCCTAGCCTGCACAACTGGGTTCCATCTCCAGGACCAAATAAAACCAGACGTGGTGGTTCATAGCTGTAATTCCGGCACTGGGAAGGTAGAGGCAGGAGAATCACAATTGCAAGGTCATCCTGAGTCACTTAACCAGTTCAAGGCTAGTCTGGACTGCTTAGAGACCCTAGCTTTTGTTTTTAATTTGTTTATTTGCTTTTTCAGGAGAAGAGATTCTTAGAGCAATCAAGTCTTATTCGGTGGCTTGCCTAATGTCATCAAGGTCGGAGTCACTGAGCTAGGACAGGCTGTTCTCTCAATGACGGAGCTGCAGCAGAGAGGGAGAAACAAAAAGTGTTCCTTGTTGTGGACACAGGCCCTTGTGAACTGAGGGAGTCCTCGGACTCCAGTGTATTGATCTGGTGGGGCTAAGGCAGAGAAGAGCAGATGGTCTTGGAAGGATTGAATGGTCCTCGGAGTGCCTCCTGAGCCTTCCCAGGGGGCTCCAATGTTTACAGTCAAAACGGTGGCTACTTGGCTATCATCCGCTGGCCCTTTTCACCCCATTTGGGAGTCTGTGGAGACTCAGCTTCAGATGCTCTGGACATATCAGAATTTGATTTTCCATGAAAAAAAAAAGTTGCCCTGACAGCCAGCCGCAATGGGGATTCCAGGCAATGACACAATGACAGGCACCCCAGTCATTGTGACCCCCTCCTCTATTCTACATCCTCCATACCATCAAGAGCAGGCGACTGGCATGCTCAGCAGAATTAAGCCAGGAGCTCGAGGTCAGCCACTCTGCTGCTGTAGCTGCATATGGCCAGCATCTTAGGTGAAAGGAGGAGTAGGGACAAGGGGAGGGTAATGTGAGCACCTCCTAGATGTCGGGTAAAGCTCTTAGCAGAGCTCCTAGCCTCCTGGAGACACACAACACTTCTGTTCTTATCAAACTAATGGAGCCCACGACAAAGCTCTGCCTGGATCCTCGCATGCCTACCTCAGGCACTCCCCAGAATAAAAGCATTTCAGAGGCTGGCACTGAAGGTCCCTAGTGCCCACCTCCAACTCGTCTGGACGAGGCTCAGCTGAGCACTCTATCCAAGGGAGAAGGCAAACTTGGGGGGCTGTCTTTATAAACTGAGGTCCTAACTAGGTAAATGTTTTTGTTTCTACTATGCCTGTCAGGACCCACTTGCGGTGGGGCAGGCTGGCTGTAAGGGGATCTGAGGGAGTCTTTGAGAACAAATTTGCTGACACTAATGACCCTCCCCCAGAGACCTGGTCCCCACCACAAGGGCAGCAATTGTCCTAAAATAGAGTCACAAAGACAGCTGTCTCTGTCTAAAGCGATCCTGTAAGCACCTCCATACCATGGTTCAGCAGGCCACAGCCACAGACATGTCACCTGCTTGGCAAGGACCTGTTCTACTGTCTTCTGCTAGAGACACCTTTCAAGACCCTGGGTAGAGCAAGGCTGACTTGGGAGTGTTAGCAGTGTGACATACCTCGGGACCTTGGCGCCAGCACGCTTGCCCCAGACAGACAGGCAGTACCACAGTATCACTGGTGGGACGCACTGGAGGAAGAGGATGTGACTGTCTTGTCACAAATTTAAGATTACGTGAGAAACAGCTTGGTAGAGGTTAGGCATCTCTGCACCAGAACAAAGAGGTTGTGCTTTCTAGGTGTGCCCGCCCTCAGGAGGGGCACCGAAAGAGGAGGGGCATGAGTCTCTCTGACAAACATTTGGATCCCTTCTTCTCCCCACGCCCACAGTCACCGGCCAGTCAGCAAGATAAGGAGCCATGTTCGTGTTTGACAGGTATAGCATTTAAAACTCAGAGGCTGGCTAGCCTTGCCAGCTGTTGCAGCATCTGGGCCACTAGCCAGTTTTACCCTGGACAGCAGGCAGACCAGAGTGGGGTGAGACAACAGAGACAGCCTGTCAGGGCTGACTGGTGCTGCAGATGGCATGTCCCTCTGCCTGCAGGCTTCAGTCTTTCCCGGGGCATGTCCCCACATGACAGGAACAGGACAGGAGAGGCATGCTACTACCTAGGGTGAGCCCCTGGTATCTCAGAGCCAGCAGAGGCCTTGGTCATCTCTTTTAGGTTACCAGTGAGGCTCCAAGGCAGCAAAGCACTTACCCAAACACACCGTCCATCCATAACAAAACCCAGAGTGGACCCTGTACTCAGAGGTACTCAGACTCCAGTCCCATGAGCTTTTCATGAAGTCACCATTTGCTGGTTAAAAATGAGCTGGATCTAGGTGTAGTGGTGTGCAAAGGGGACCAAGTTCAATTACATAGTCAAATATAGTTTGCAAATTTTGATGTATTTTGTGATCCCGTTTTCATAAACTGATCCTAATAACTCATGTAATGCAAGTGAAAATATAAAGTAAGAGGCGGGTACTCAAATTTATTAAGAATGAAGCTTGGGGACTTTCACTATTTTTAATTTCTTTAATGGTTTGACCAATTTGCGACAAAAAAAAAATCCCATGTTACTTCTGGGCAAAGACAAGGAAGAGAAACGTGATGGGTGAGGGGACAGGGGCGACTGAGGCGGACCACTCCATCACAGCTGCCCCACACAGAAAATTGGAGGCTTGATTTGGATTCCATCTTCTTAACAAGGGATTAGGGAAGGAGCAAAGCAAGAAGCCGGGTGCTCATGTGTCGCCAGGATTTCAGGAGCAAGAGACACTTTTCTTTGTGCCTCCTCAGCGCGCCCCTCTGTGCTCCGTCAATTCTGGGCTGGGCACTGAGCTGGCCAAGCTTGATGGAAGACGGCGGTGCTCCAGGCTCGCTCCCTGGTCCTTAAATGACAGCAAATGAGGTAGGGCCAGGAGGGTGGGGATGGCGGGGTGGGAGGGGGCAGAGGAAGCCATCTCCGGCCGAGCGTTGGCTGAGGAGCCGAGCCAGCCAGTGAGCGGAGCCGGCGAGAGGGAGGAGCGCATCCTGATGCAGAGATGCTGCAGTGGCTTGGGGCGCGCACACACTTACGCACCCTCGCCCGCTGCCGCTGCGCCAGGACAGCCAGTGGCTAAGGCCGGCGGGGCCAAGCAGCCGCGAGGCTGGCGGCAGGGTCTGCTCACCGGGTGGCAGCAGCGTTGCCCCAGCCAACACCCTTCCCGCACTCCAGGTAGGTGCCTATCGTTTTTTTTGTGTGTTCCAGACCAGGGGTTTCCCCGGTGCTGTTCCAGGAGGGGCTCAGAGCTCAGCCCTTATAAATGCCTTGCTTGAAACTTGGGAGGGAACAGGAACACGCAGACTAAGTCCGGGTTGACCTTTCACCCCAGCCCCATAGTGGCCACCCCTCAGGCTCTTCCCCATCCTGTCTAAGTGGGTGGCATTCTGCAAGGCCTGATTTACCTGGCTCAGGAAACTGGCCCCCAGGAGGGTCCAGAAATCTGAGCAGGCAGTGGCAACTGCCTGCCAAGAGGGCAGGGACCCCTGGGCCTGCCCTGGACCCCAGCCAATGCCAAGCAGCTTTGTAAGACCAGGCCCTAGCCTGTCCCTAGAAGTCCCTACATGGGGACTTCCAAATTTGAGGTCATATGGGGGGCTGCTTCCGACAGATGACCCCTTTCCAAAGTCTTGGTTCTGCTGGACCAGAGAGGCTCTGGAAAAGAGGAGAGAGCACAAGGCTGACTGTCCAGGAGCTGGGACTTGGGAGAGAAACTGAGGCAAGTCATATCCCAAGGGTGAGGCTGGAATCTAGCCTGCAGTTCCTTTTCCCCTCCTCCCTCCTCAACCTTGTCTTCTTCCCAGATCCCTCCCCCTCAGCCTCACTGGTGGGAGGGAAGGATTTGCTCAAAGTTTGGCTTTCCAGGGGATTCTAAAGAGAGGGGCAACCCCTCTGTTAGCCCCATGGCTTATGTAATGGGCTGCAGGAGGGAAGCCGCACCTGCCAGGGACTGTCTGTAAGACTCTAAGACCACCTCTAAGACTGGCTGTAGCACTCAGGAGCAAGGGGCTAAGATGAGGCTGTACCTGTAGGGCAGTGTCTTGGACTGCACAGGCATCCCGGACCCCGAAACTCTGTGCACCCCATTCCCGACCCCAGGAGATAGGGGAGTTGAGCTTTCTTCCTGCCTGCAGGGTAAAGCTGCCAAAGTTGTTAGTACGTTTGTAATTAGTGTGACCAGCACTGAGTGGTTGTGCATGCAATGACCTCAGCCTTGGGCAGGGGTTCCCTTCTGCGAAGGAGGCAGGAGAAGGTACTGTCCACATAGCCTGGTCCTGAGCTCATACAGGCAGCTGATTCAGGCATTCTCTCAGATGTCCCATCATCTGCTTAGCTCTGAGATGATCTACCACCTGTCCTAGGTCCCGTTCAAAGGGACCAGACGCATCACTAAATAGCAAGGGCAGCAAAGTGTGGGCCACCTGTGGGAGGGGCCAGTGCGCCTGAGGCTCCAGGGGTGAGGCAGAGAACTGGTCTGGAGGTTAAAACAGGTGTCATGTTTCCGGGCTGCCTCCGAGTCAGAAGCATTCAGCTCCTCCCAGGGGCCCCACCAGCTAACTCTGGAGAGCCAGGCTCAGGCAGAATCACTAGTGCTTCAACCACAAGGTCAAAGTTCTTCCTACTCTCCTGTGGGAGATCTCGGCCAATTTAGAGGCCAGCAGGAGATGAGACAGACAAGGAGGCTCCTAAGCTGACGGCATCAAAGACACTCAAGGTCCATACTGCCCTTGTCCGGATGAAGTGAGGGTTTGGGAAGAGAGGCGTGCTGCCTAGGGAGGCGGGGCCACTGAAGGGACCGCTCTCTGACCTTCCTCAGTCTCTATCAGGCCACATCATTCCCCGTATCTCCTACCCCAGAGGTCCACAGGCCCTCAGTCTAACCCCAGACTCCATCCCTAGTGACCCTCCGCTGGGCACCTCCACTTTCTGCCAGTTTGAGTGGAGACACAAGTGTATTGACTCTCAGTACCTGTGATCCACTGGACAGTTGTGTGTCTTACCTTGGCCCGATTTCAGCTCTCTCCTAAGGCATGCATACATGGCCAGGATGTGTGTGAGCCAGCTTCTACGCTGATACTATCAGCCACACATTCAGGAGCGCTGGAAGAGAGCAGAGTCCCTCTGCCAGAAAGTTTTTCCAGCCAAATAACGGTGGGGAAACATATTACAAAGCCGATCTGTAAGATGGGTTTGGGCAGTATTAGTATTTTTGGAGATTCTTCTGTGTGGTCCTAGAGCATCAGGGAAGCCGTGGTTTATTGACACAGAGAGAAGAACCAGAGCAAAGAACACGCTGCTGAAGTATGAGGGACTTGGATCAGTCAGCAGATACTTCTGAGAAGGAAATAGAACCATAGGGCAATCTCCAGTCACATGACTGTTAAGATGGCTGCAGAGCTGGGGTCAATGTCAGGTTCAAGACGTGAGACAGTCATGCCTAGAGGCACAAGTTAGGCTGGGTGACAGGTACATTTCTTCCAGCCTCGGGTCATCCTCTTTCAAACGGCAAATGATGACATCCTTTTCATCCGCCTGCATGCTGGCATTTCTGGTTCTTCAGGAGGACAGCCGACTCTCATCTAGACTGAAATCCCCAGGGATGTTGCTAACGTAGGGTATTCATGGGGCAGATTTCACCCTCCTGGAACAAAGTTCCTTTTGTGGTTTAATGAGTCCGTGTTTCTTTGTCTACTCAGTGAGGTGCAATCAAAAACAAAAGTGTGTATCCCAAGCCTGAGCGTCATCCATCCTACAACACACTAGAATACACCTCAACATCCATCCCAGCCATATGGCCCCCTTCTAAACTGCAGAAGTCAACCCCTGTCCTGCTCACAGACACCCATCCTGATGTGAAACCATAAGGTCTCCTCCAAAGGCAGCCCATATCATCTCAACATCTGTCAATCCCTAGGACTTTGAGGTCCCCTTATGCACAGGCTCCTGCTCCCACCAGCTTGCAGAAAACTGTCTGGGCGCTGGAGGGTGGGGTGAGAAGAAGAAGGAGTCTCCTCTCAGTGAAGGGAGTGACATGCAGAAATTGCCTGCTAATGCATGAGGTCCTCTTCTTCCACATTTGATCCTTTAGAAACAAGTTGAAACAACTATTCATGCTCCTCCAGTTTCAGTGAGGATCTTTCTGAGGACTGGAGATAAAGAGCAGCAGAAAGAAGCTGTATTGTATTTTTTTAAAAAAGTGTGGCGTGTGAGGTCCTTCTCCCAAGGCCTTTGCTTGCTGCCCCACACTACACAGAGAAGGGCTGTCAGAGTGGGGAGACTGACTGGACCCCAGTCTTCACACTTTCTTCCCGAAAGACCTAAGTCATCCCACCCCCACCCACCCCCATCCCTCTGGGCTTCTTAACTCTGAAGAGTAGACTCCAAGTTAAGAGCCCCTAGACTCCAGCCTGCAGACCAAGGGCCAGACTCCCCCACTTGGTGTTGAAAGTTCAGACAGCCCCCTGAGCTGGGAATTACAGTATCTCCAAGGGACTTATTGTCTGCATTGATGCCTCAGGAACTGGCTGCAAACACACGAGTCATGCATGCTGGGGAAAGAGAGAACTGAGAACTTCCACCCCCTCTCGCTTGGAGCTGAAGGTCCCTATCCCATCCACGCCTCCCTAAGCGTCTCTCTACTTCAGGCCCTTGCCCTGCCCAATGGTGCCTGGCCTGTGAGTGCCCCAGCAGCCTCCACCCCTCTGCTCAGAGCCCCATCCTCCCAGCAGGCTGTGGTGCCTGAGACCCTCCTGGACTTGGATGGTCCTGCCATATAGTGATTCCCATCCTAAGAAGATTACAGGTGTTGAGCCCAGACTCCCTCTGCCCTAGTCAGGAGTTGGGCACATGAGAGAAAAATCACTGAGAGTGCCATGGGCACACCCAGGCCACCATGTTTCCTGAACATGCGGTTTGGGTACAAGTCTGCCAGTGGGCTATCTTTGTGCCATAGTCTGGGGTGATTGCTGGGGTATGCCTCATTACATCACCCCTATGGAATGGGAAGAACAAGCTCTGTCTTTACCATTAGCTTAAGACTTTGTCAGCAAGCCTGACTCATACAGGTGCAGCATGTGTAGATATTCAGGGGACAGGGGGAGCTTGGCTATAAGATCCGATTCCTCCCAAGCATTGGCAGCAGCCCAGGTATGGCTGTGACCTCACCATCATCCCTTGAGGTGACCCTTCTTGATCCCATTTTACAGAGGAGAAACTGAGGTGCAAGGGTTTAGTACTGAAGGCAGTAACTCAGGTTATAGTAGTTAGGGATGCTAGATCTCACTGGTTCAGTAACCTGCTCTATAACCTGGGAGACATGCTACAAGGCAGAGGCCGAGGTGAGCATACGAGAGGCCCGTGCACTACCTTAAAGGTTGACCCTAGATCTCTCTGTCTTCTACTGTGGTCCAAACCCTCCCTTTCCACCACACTCTATTCACGACTACCACACCCTTTAATCTCTGGTCTCCTTGACTGGAGAAGGAAAGAGCGGGGGCCTGAGCTGGACATCTCAAGAAGCAGCAAAATGCTGTTGAGTTAGTACTTTTTTTGTTGTTGTGTTTTGTTTTTTTGTCTGACTCCATAGAGACCCTTAGCCAAGAAACCCTGTCGTGTGCTGGAGTCTAGCTTATAGTCTGCTGTCCCCAAGCTGTCTCCCCTCTCACTCTTTGTTTCCTGAACTGGAAGCTTCTAGTGTTCCTGAAGCTCTCAGTGGCCTATTCTGCCATGGCCCTCACAGAACCACCAGCCCCTCGATGATGACAGCCTGTGCCCGACTGTGACAGCCTGTGCCTGCACCCCTGCATCAGGGCAGCTGGCCTGGGCAAGGCTTGGCTGGCTCAGAGCTGGCAAGGCTAATCTGGGTCTGGCAGAACTCCACTCCAGCCTCACTCCGACCAAAAAGGCCCTCTCCATCCTGGGCCTTCTAGAACATGTCATATGGGGCAGGGAGATGACTCATCTCTGAACTCGGAAGCACATCTCATGGCTACTCTCAGCTGGCCAGGGAGTGCCATAAAGGGAGTGTCTCCATTCCTGCCTCCCGTGTGCTCAGCACAATGCCTGGCTCATGGTCACTGAACACTGTAGTGGGGTTGGATGTGGTAGCACATTCCTGTGACTCCAGCTGGAACAAGAGGCTTGTGAGTTCAAGGCATAGAAAAGACCTTGCCTCCCATCGCCGTCACACGTGTACATGTGTGTGCGCGTGTGTGTGCACATGCATGCACACATGCATGCATGATAATGGGAACGAATGCAAGGCAGTGTGGACGTTGGCTGCCTTATCTTCAGGGAGGCAGTAAGCTCCAACCTTTACTCCAGACATGTGTGTGAGTTCTTACTAGTTTATTCAGAGCAATGGGGCTCACTATATATCCGATAACACTGACTTAGCGGCCAGTGTGTCCCAGGAGAAACCCCACATCCTCCTGATCCAGACATATCTCTAAGGCTACAGGTCTTGGTCCCTAGAGGGCGCCCAGGGCATTTAGACCAGACTGATGACTGATAAAAAGCCCAGATTAAACTAAAGTTTAAGGGAGGCAGTGGGATTGGATTATCCATAATCTACAGTCTTCACCAGAAAGACAATACAGAATCTTGGCCACCGCATGGCTGAGGCAACCCCTGTGACTTCATCTCTGCCTTGCTCTGGTGTATGCAGATAAACACCCACAGCCCGGCCCCCTCCCAGGCCAGCCCCTTGTGCCTGAGCTGAGCTCTGGACCAGAGGGCTGGCAAAGGGCAGGAGTACATGATGGGCAGTTTCCCCGTGCCAGGAGCGAGTTCACGATTCTCCAGTCACAGGGATGTTCACATTCCTCAACAAGGGAGCATCCTGGGAAAGTCAAGAGCAGGAAGTGGATACCAGATGAGATGGAGGCAGGAGAAGGGGGGCATCTAGAGCTATTCTCTACCTCTCTCCCCACAGTAGACTGACAGAGGTCCAGATGACTCCGGGGCTTCACAGCCACTGATAACCAGTACAAGGGACACCACATGTATCCACTGATGACCAGTAAAGGGGACACTGCAGGCAGCCATTGATGACCAATACAGGGGACACCGCAGGCAGCCATTGATAACCAGTACAGGGGACACTACATGTAGCCACAGAACTATTCTGTAGTGCTCACATCATCCCCATTTTACTGATGGGAAAATTGAGACTCCACACCAGGGTAATAACTTGCCCTCTTCCAGGATTCGTGGGCACCTACACTCACATGCGCATACCCACACAAGTACACATAATTAAAAATAAAACCAATTTACAGAAGGAAAAAGGAGATGCTTCTGCTCTTGACCCCCACCCCTGCTTCTTGAGTTTTCTGAGCATCCCTGCGGACACCCTGGGGAGCCCAGGGCAATTCTTCCTCCTGACTTTTAGCAGCTGGAAGCAGGAAATGTGAGAAACCAGGTGGAGGAGGGCTGGGATTTTTTTCTGTGAGGCACATCCCGAGGTCTCATTCATCTCTAGTCTTGCTTCTGGGCCCACGGGGAAGGGGTCCTGACTGCTCTCTCAGGAAGCATGAGAGCCTAAGTTGAAGGACCTGAAAGATAGCAATTTCACCAGGGACACGGATGCAGACAGCAGGGCTCCACAGCCAGTTAGTGGGGAAAGCCTTGCCCCGGGCCTTCTGCAGGCAGGAGGGAGGGCAGGCTGGTAGAATCTGCAGCCAGGTGCCCTGGCCTATGGCAGCTCTGAGAGGGAGGAATGGACTGTGGTGACCGGACTAATCTCAATATCTAGAAGGTAGCTCCGGGGAGTCCCTGTCCCCCAGAAATTAGGGATTCTTCCTGAGGAGGAATAGATAGAAAGGTGACTCCCTTCCCTGTCCTTGCCTCATCACATGAGGTCCTCACCTCCCTAGCCATTGCCCTGCTCTCTGTGACCTGCCCAGTCTCTTCTATCCCAGTGTAAGATGGAAGCTGGGCCGTTAACCAGTGTGCTGGGAGTGGGGCTGATAGGACCAAGGTCAAAGAATCTTGGTGCTGCATCTGGGCAGAGCTAAGTCATAAAACTTCCCTTTGAGAAAATCAGTCCTGGTTCAGAGACTGTGCAGCTGCAGAGAGGCTTGGTGGCCACCACCAAGGCGACTGTGGGAAAAGAGCAGAGAGAGTTGCCCTGGTCCCCAAGTACCACAGGAAGATGTTCTTGGCTCCCTTCCCAGGCACACACCCCACTCTCTCAGGGCTCCTCTGACACAGAGGGATCACGATTGCCGGCAAACAGGCAGGTGGGTTCCTGCCTTCCAATTAGTTCTGCTTCCACTTCCTGGTCTGCACCTGCTGGATGGAGGGAGAGGCACCGGGCAGACCAGACTCCCAGGGGAGGTGAGGGGCGGGGGCAACAGGAGGTCCTCAGCCCTGGAAGCGCTCCTTGATAATAGCCAAGCCCCTCCTCTGGGACCCGAGGAAGTTGAGTGCTTGTGCTTCCACAGACACTCACCAGATGTGTTTGCAGCTGGGAGGGGTGCCATGGCTTAGAGCTCTTATCCTCTGTCTCCTTAGGTGTCTCTCTGTCTCCAGTTGATTCTTCTGGAGCTGGGCTTTGGTTCCTGCCCTCTGGACTCTGCCTGAAACACCCACCATGGGGACACACGGCAGGAAAAAGTCATGCTCGCTGCTGCTGGTGCTGGCTACAGTGGCCCTGGCCTCCTCTCCAGGTAAGAGTGCCTGATTCTATGGTTAAGTCATTACTACCACTTAGGCGGCAATTCCTCTGCATTGCTGAGGCCATTTTCTTGCTGAATTATTCCCGTCTGTGAATCTTACCTGACCTGTGGAGTCGGGAGGAGAGGAAATGGATCCTGGTTATGTTGAAGATGAAGAAAAATGTCCCAGAGAAGCTGGATAGCTTACCCTGTGTCAGAAAGTGCAATGTGGCAAAGCCAGATCTCCATGCCAACCATTGGAGCTGTGGCCTCTAGAACAACACTGCCTAGTGTGGTAGGCGTCGCCAAGTGTCACCCCTGAGCTATCATGTGATTTAAATGAAAATGATGCCTTCGGCTGTACTTGCCTCATGGCCAGTGCTCAGTAGACACCCCAGGCCATAGGACACCTCCAATATATCCAGATGTTTTTCCCTGGAGAATGCTCCAGGGTCCCAGACCCAAGGGGTTAACAGGTACTTCATAGAATCCTGAGAGACTTTCTTGAGGCAACCTGGATGGGAGGGGCAGAAAGGGACAGATGAGGCCGATCAGAGTTGCTGACAGAGGGTCCCATCTCCATGGTAATCTCCGTACTCAGATCAGAGATGAGAAACAGCTGGCAGAGGGCAGAGAAGGGGGCAAGCAGAGCTGGAGAGTTTGTGCCCAGGAGCTGGGTGTCTCCAGGGCTTGTGCTGAGGGGCCAGCTGGCTACTGTTTGGCTGGGCCTGAACCCCAAACTCAGATCAACAGGAATTTTTTTTTTCCCAAGAACTCCATGGGAGAAGGAGCACTCATCCCGCAGTCCTGGAGTCTAGACCCTACCCTGGAGTTTTGCCCACAACCCTCCAAGACACAGCCGTGCCTTCTAGATCTTTGTCTAGGCTGGCATGCTCAGAAGCTCTCATTGGGTCCCTGCTGCTCTGATTCGCCCTGCACCCAGCTTGATGGGGGTGCTGAGGAGTTGGGCTCACTCCAAGACCCCGGGGCCTAGTTATCTGCCCCAGGGTCCTCCAGACTGGGGGAACTAAAAGCAAGAGGTGTGAGCACCGCTCAGGCTACCCTGATCTAAACAGGTCAGAAGGCAGTTGCCAAAGGGCCAGGACCCGGGCTGCTGTCTCCCATGTGTGACCCAGTCCTCCATCTACTCTTATCTGAGACCTGGAAAGTGCGTCTCTGTTCTTGGCTTGCTCACCTGATCCTAGAGTAGAGCTCTGAACCACTCACAGCCCAGGGCAAAGAGAGGCGTGGCATCTTGCTTCATACAGCATCTCTCTGGCTCCTTCCTCCCACTGCAACATGTCTGATGTCTTCTCTGGGGAAAACAGTAAATGGGGGCAAAGGTGCTTTGCCCAGGACTTTGTGTCCGTGCGTGGTCACTTGTGGGATGGGATATACGGGTATGTCCGTAGCTCTGGAGGGAAGTGTGGGCCATGTGACATTGTCTGTGCACCAGGGGCTTGATGGAGTCTGGGTGTGAGTGAGGTGCATCCTGTACCCTGATACCCTCCACTGCAACCCTTTTCAAAAGCATTTTGTTTTTCATTCCCGGAACTTCTGATGTCAGGTCTCTGGGGTGGAACTAGGGCCTCAGATGGTTCCAAAACCTGAAGTCAGAAATCATGGCCACTGTGGTTAAAAATGCTGGCTGCAGGGCCGGGCGGTGGTGGCGCACGCCTTTAATCCCAGCACTTGGGAGGCAGAGGCAGGCGGATCTTTGTGAGTTCGAGACCAGCCTGGTCTACAAGAGCTAGTTCCAGGACAGGCTCCAAAACCACAGAGAAACCCTGTCTCGAAAAACCAAAAAAAAAAAAAAAAATGCTGGCTGCAAAATGAGGCTGGATGAGGCAGATCTCCCCCTTTGCTTTGAGGTGGGGCAAGTTGTTACACCTTCCTAAGTCTCAGTCTTTGTTGGTGAGATGAGAATCACCCCCCTTCTTAGAATTCAGAGTGTGGCATCAGGTGACAGTGAGCAGTTGGATCGACAGCACTATTCTTATTGTGGCTAAATTATTACCAGTGAGTAGAGCTACTTGTGAATATGTAACATACATATGGAATGAGCAAGCAGGGCTGAGTTCCTGGAAGCTGCTATTGTATAAGGTGGTTCCCAGCAGCCGGCCACCGCTGCTGTCTCCACATCCTTCCGTTTCCTCCCTCTGGCCCTCCCTCTCCCCTCTCTGCAGGTGGTCCTAGCTGGGACAGGGTCCCCATCTTCCGCCTTCATCATTAACTCTGGATTAAGCTGGGTTTTCCAGGGGGAGATGATGCAGTTGCTGTCACACACCACCTCAGAGGCCTCGGGGCAGCAGCAAAGGAGAGTGACAAGCACTTGGTGTGGGGTGGGGTGGGCAGCACGGACAGGACTCAGGGGAGGCCTTCCATAGACCACTCTGGAAGTCTACCCCATTCCTCAGACAGAGGGCTGCTTGACAGATGTCCCCACTCCCAAGAGGCCAGAGCTGGGCCTCAGCTGCAGCAGAGGGACCACGCTTGGAAGAGGGCTGGCAGCTGGATGTGCCCAGAAAGAAGCCACTAATTGGTTAATGGAGTTCCCTCCTCCCATCCCCCCACCTGACAAGGAGGGTCTGAAATCAGCTGCATAAGAGATAGGAGCCAATTAAGAGGCCCAGCTCCCATCTGATCCCACAGTGGCAGAGCCCCCACCGTGCTGATGCAGGTGCGAAGTACTGTCCAGCCCTCTGCCTGCTGATCCTGTTCTAGCAAGATGGGACAATGGCATATGCAGAGCAAGGTGGTGACTGAGATGGGGCTGGCAGATGTGAATCCCATTTGCTAAGCAACCCTACCTGCCTGATTGGCTGTGTGGCCCATCGGGCCTTTTTTTCCCTGAGATGTGACACAGTTTATAAAGTTGTCCCCACTTGACCTGCTACCACACACCCAACATCCAGCCTTTCATCTCCCCTGATCCCCGTCCCCAGTTGGGTCTAATAGCTGGTGGTTGAGCTTGCTCGCTGTGCCCAGGCCCTCCTTATTTCCTCCTGCCATGGACCTGGGAAGTGAAGTCTTCCTCTTTGCATGGGCAGACACCAGATCAATACCTGGGGGAGGGGGCTAGAATTTGCCTAAGGAGGCCCAGCCCAGCCTCCAAATGAGCCCTTTTCCCTGGATATACTTCCCTAGGAGAGCACTGGACTCTAGAAACACACACCCTTCTCTGCATTTCCTGCTGGTGATTTCCCATGTGCCACACCTGTGTGAGGTTCTCTGAGAGTCTCACAGTCTTGTTCCGAATGTCTCTGTGACGTGGCCCCCTGTGCTGTCTGCTCGTGGTTTCCTTCCCTATATTGCAAGGTCCTTCAAGGCAAGGGGGCGTGTGTCTGATTTTTCACAGCCCAGTGCCAGGTATAGAGCAAATGCTCACTGTGTGACTGTAGGTAGGTGACGGACAATGCACACATGGATTTATGGGACTTTCCCAGCCTTTTTAAATTCATTAAAATTAAATTTTGGTTTCTAAGTCACCTTCCAGATCCTCAGTAGCCACGAATGGCCACCCACTGGACAATGCAGAAAGTGAGGCATCCCCACTAAGTTCTGCTGGACAACATGCCCTTAACATTGGACTTGGACCATCTCACACCTTGAGCCTCTGGTGGTATCTCCTATTTGCAGGATGGAGTTTTGTCCAGGGAACCCCAGCTACCTTTGGACCTGTTTTCGAAGACCAGCCTGTAGGCTTGCTGTTCCCAGAGGAATCCACAGAGGATCAGGTGACACTGGCATGCCGTGCCCGAGCTAGCCCTCCAGCCACCTATAGGTGAGCCATGGATGCTGGGAAGCCCCGGGTAGCCATACAGGTTCTCCTCACATCAGCCCTACACGTTCAGGCCTGAGGTCCCACCCCAACATCACTCCTCCCTGCTGCAGGTGGAAGATGAATGGCACTATTATGAACCTGGAACCCGGTTCCCGTTACCAGCTGATGGGGGGCAACCTGGTCATCATGAGCCCCACCAAGGCACAGGATGCTGGTGTCTACCAGTGCCTAGCCTCAAACCCAGTGGGCACTGTCGTCAGCAAGGAGGCAGTCCTCCGCTTCGGCTGTGAGATCCGTGGGAGCCAAGATGTTGGGTGTGGGTAGATGGAGCCAGGGAAAGGTGCCCAGGAAGGATAGGTGGCAGCCCCAGGCTTTCCTGCCCACAAATGGCATGGTAGAAACTGCTTCTTCCCCATGGAGGAGGAGCTGGGGAGCCCCAAGCTCGAAGACAGTGCCTGAGCCCTGCTCTCCTTCTCCAGTTCTGCAGGAATTCTCCAAGGAAGAGAGAGACCCGGTGAAAACCCACGAGGGCTGGGGGGTGATGCTGCCTTGTAACCCACCTGCCCACTACCCAGGTAAGTGGGGCTCCTGGACCACAGCGAGGGGGCGGGGGCTGCACCAGAAAAGACATTTAGATGCTGGGGAGAGGAAAGACAGGACAGGAGGTGATAAGTCTCGTGCTCCCAGTACCTGAGGACAGAGCTGAAGCCATCTCTTCCTTTTACACGTCTCCTCAGACCCTGTTTAGAGCTACAAACTCTCCTGAGCAGGCAGAACATTCAGCATGTCAGGGTCCTGCCCCAGCACACCCGAGTCTCCTCAAACTCCCTTCCTTTCTAGGTTTGTCCTACCGCTGGCTCCTCAATGAGTTCCCCAACTTCATCCCAACGGATGGGCGTCACTTCGTGTCCCAGACCACAGGAAACCTCTACATTGCTCGGACCAATGCCTCAGACCTAGGCAACTACTCTTGTCTGGCCACCAGCCACATGGACTTCTCCACCAAGAGTGTCTTCAGCAAGTTCGCGCAGCTCAACCTGGCGGCTGAAGGTCAGGACCGTGGGCTATGAGGCCGGGCTGAGAGAGGCAGTAGGCTTTGGGACTTCCCTTGAGCCCAAGAAGAACAGCTCAGAGGGCCTGCTGTCAGAGACCTGTGCACCGGTTGGGTAGCTGATCTTCCTGGGGTGCCCTGCCTAGGCCCCCAGGGGAAAGGGAATATTTACAAATTCCAAACATTTGTGTTTGGAGATTTGTGGTCTTTGGAAGGCACGGCCCCTAAACACAGACCACCTCCCTGGAGTCCTTTGTGTGTGATTTCCACGTCTCTCTCCCCAGATCCCCGACTCTTTGCTCCCAGCATCAAAGCCAGATTCCCCCCAGAGACCTATGCACTGGTTGGGCAGCAGGTCACCCTGGAGTGCTTTGCCTTTGGGAAGTAAGTACCATAGGAAGGACAAGAGTGCCCTGGAACTGCGCAGAGTTTCGTTTCAAAGCCCCTCAGGAGCAGGAGGGATCCCGGGATGAGAGAGGGCAAAGTCAGCAGGCTAGCAGGGTGCTGGTCACACAACAGGCATCACCCAGCACCAAACGAAATCAGTTCTGCCAGGAGGACATTACATACGAGGGCTTCATAGGCATGAGCGAATCCTGGTCCTCCTGACAGTAATGCAGCCCTAGGGCAGTTTGAGGAGCACCCAGGGTTAGAGGCAGGAAGCACCGTGTGTAAACCCCATCCTGCTGGTTCAAAGCCCCTGTTTCACCGCTTGCTGACTCAGAGACCTCTGGCAAACGACCTAACATCTCAGTCTGGGCTCCCTGACTGGTGGGTGGTCATGGTAACAGTGCCCGCCCTGTAAGATGGTTACAAAGATTAGACAAGTGAATGGATGCCAGGCCCTGAGAATGACGCTTGGCATTTACAAGTGCTGCATGAATGTTACATTAGGTCTTTTAAAAATTACCACGGAAAGCCTCTCTCTTGCTTTCCCAGAAAAAGGATCCATGAGAGCAGGGCTCCTTGGCCATGTGGGAAATGATTGTGCCTCCAGAAAACGTGTAAGGAGCATTTGGCGGGGCAATATGTTATGGCTCCCTAGACCCCTTTAGTATACAAATTACTAATAAAATGTCTTGGGAAAGTGGGGCAATAGGAAAGGGGACCTGTAAAGACTCCGGTCATAGGCCACTGTTGACCGCTGTGGTGTGAGGGCAAGCTGGCTTCAGAGTACAGACCACACAGAAAATCAGCTGCACTGGCTTCCTGGCTGTGGCTGGGAACAAGGGCCTCCGATAGGGGCGCCCTCTTCTTGGCTCTTCCTTGAGGATGTTCCTAGTCTTGTTTGTGCCCTCTTTCCCTCTGTCTCCTCCCAAACGAGTCCCTGTCACCTTGCCCAGCTCTTCAGGAGGGCCCGTGAGTGTGAGTGTAGGCTCTGGGGACACATGAGGCGCGTACCCAGCTCAGCTCACCCCCTCTGGCTCTTTCTCCCCTGTCAGCCCTGTTCCCAGGATCAAGTGGCGTAAAGTGGATGGTTCTTTGTCCCCGCAGTGGGCCACAGCAGAGCCCACCCTGCAGATCCCCAGCGTGAGCTTTGAAGATGAGGGCACCTATGAATGTGAGGCAGAGAATTCTAAGGGCCGTGACACCGTCCAGGGACGCATCATTGTGCAGGGTACAGAGCTGGCGACACCTCCCTTCTCTTTGAGGAAACAGCATGAAAAATCAAGAGACTGGAAGGCCTTGCCCTTGCCAGGGCTACTAAGCATAGTGGGAGAGGCCATTGCAGAGCTCAGCAGGAGCATACAAAAAGCACATGTCTTTCAAGAGATTTAGTTGCTAAAGCAGTCACTGGCACAACCATAGAGTGCCAGCTTTCTTCTGCCCCCCACGTCTTTGTCTCTCCATCCCAGAATACCAACAGCGCCATCTGCTGTCGCTTACAAATACTGCAACCTTCTAATTCCCTATTTAATGAGCCTAAGGCTCCTCTCAGCCAGTCCAGGTTTTTTCTCTCTTACTTCCCCACAGCTCAGCCTGAGTGGCTCAAGGTGATCTCAGACACAGAAGCCGACATTGGTTCCAACCTGCGTTGGGCCTGTGCAGCAGCAGGCAAGCCTCGGCCCATGGTGCGCTGGCTGAGAAATGGGGAGCCTCTGGCCTCCCAGGTAGGAAACCGGGGCTCCCTCCCACATGACCACCCTCTTCTGCTTGCCTGGCCCTCTTACTAGCTGGGCCAACCAGGAGGTCTTGGGATGTTTTGTTGCTTCTTCCCATCTCAGAGTCACATGGCCACAGGTGGGTCACCTGTGCACAGAGATCTGGGATCCCACCAAACGGGGGCATGATCCTAAGTCTGGCTCCCAGAAGGCCTAAGATACTAGGGAGGCCTGCGCTCATGAACCCCCGACCTGATGCTGGCCTACAGCCTCTGCACCACCCCTTCTGTCCCTTCTGTCCCCCAACAGTCCTGATCTCCCTGCTCTGCCTTGGTTCTCCTGCACAGAACCGAGTGGAGGTCTTGGCTGGGGACCTGCGATTCTCTAAGCTGAGCCTGGAGGACTCGGGCATGTACCAGTGTGTGGCGGAAAACAAACATGGCACTATCTATGCCAGCGCCGAGCTGGCAGTGCAAGGTAAAGGAGTAGTCCTGGGACCTGCAGGTTGTGCTGGGTGGTGTGAGCCTTTGCTTCTCCAAACACACGCTTGCATGTATACATCTGAACACACACACACACACACACACACACACACACACACACAGTTTCCTTTGGGTTTTCAGTAGCACCAGTTTGAAGACACTAGGCTGAGTTATCCAAGGACATGGCTAGACAAAGCGTGCTCGCCGCAGTGAGTGGTGATTTAACCTAGCTCTTTCAGCTCTGTGGCCTGTGGCACCCAATTCTCTGCCTCAGCTTCCAGATTTCAGAAATGTTTCCTGCTGGTGGTGGTGGTGCACACCTTTAATCCCAGCACTTGGGAGGCAGAGGCAGCTGGATCTTTGTGAGTTCAAGGTCAGCCTGGTCCACAGAGCGAGGTCCTGGACAGCCAGGGCTGTTACACAGAGAAACACTGTCTCGCAAAACAAAACAAAGAAATGCTTTGCACTGCCCTTGACCACTGCTTTAGGGGAACTGAGACGCAAAGGGCTAACTGTGAAAGGCCTGACTTTGTTTGACAGGGGCCGAGGAACGTGAGCCCCTTGAGCTTGCTACGCAGGCTTTTTCTGCTGTAAGATGGACATGAGGATCCTTTATTAAGTTTTTAATAGGCTCAACAAGACCTTTTTAAAATTTTATTTGTATAAATGCTAATATTTGTATGTGTATCACATGCCCATAGAAGTCAGAACAAAGTGTTGATTCTCCTGGAACGGGAATTATACATGGTTGTGAGCCACCATATGGGCACTGGTTCACTGAACTCAGGTCCTCTGCGAGAGCAACCATGCTCTTAACCACTGAGCCATCTCTTCAGTCCCAAGACTCATTCTTTCTTTCATTCATTTATTCAACATCTCCTGACAAATGAGCAAAAAAATATCACTCTCTGGTATCAAATACTGTCCAATCCAATTGAGAGAGAGGAATAAGTAAACATGAGGTTCATGCAGATAACTCTAAGAATGTGGTATAAGGAGATCCAGCAGAGCAGTGATCCTGAGGTGAGCCAGTGAGATGGGCGGTCAGGGAAGACTCTCTGAGGAAGCCACATTTGGACATGACCTGAAGGAGCCAGCCTTGGAAAGATCTGGAGAAGCACAAAGATCCTGAAGCAAGAAAGACTTGGCAAAGTCAGAGGATTAGAAAGGAAAGCTGAGGGTTGGGGTGGGAGTGTGGGGAGTGTGGGGGGCTGGAGCCATGGCTCCACAGGACGCTGGCTGCTCTTGCAGAAGACCCAGGTTCTATTACAAGCACCCACATGGTGGCTCACAACTTTCTGTAATTCAAGTTCCAGAGAATCTGATAACCCTCCTCAGGCCTCCTCATGAGGGTGTTGCATAGACATGCATGCAGGCAAAACACCCGTACACATAAAAGAAAGATAAATAGATCTTTCAAAGGAAAAGGAAAAAACTGAAAGCAAGACAGACAGTTGGAGCACATGTGGAGGTAGAGAGTGGAGAGACACTGCTGCCACTTGAGAGGCTGGTCTCCAGTGGCACGTCACAGTCCTTAGCACATGGCCAGGTGACATCTTAATGGTGAGGGGGGCTGTGGCTATCACAGGGTAAGTATGTAAGTAGCCTCTCTCCTACAGCTCTGGCCCCCGACTTCAGGCAGAACCCTGTGAGACGGCTGATCCCCGCTGCTCGCGGGGGAGAAGTCAGCATCCCCTGCCAGCCGCGCGCAGCCCCAAAGGCTACCGTGCTTTGGAGCAAGGGCACTGAGATTTTGGGGAACAGTTCCAGGTAGGTTCTGTGTGCCACAGCTGAGACGGCTTCTTGTTGGTTAGTCCACTTCCCACTGCCACGGTGTGCCTATCCCTGGGGTGACTAGATCTTCTGTGTCCTTGCTGCAGAGTGACTGTAACCTCAGATGGCACCTTGATTATCAGAAACATCAGTCGATCGGATGAAGGCAAATACACCTGCTTTGCTGAGAATTTCATGGGCAAAGCTAACAGTACTGGGATCCTGTCTGTGCGCGGTAAGGACCATGGTCTGTTCGGACCCTTGGTCCGTTGCCAGGGTGCTCTTCTGCCAGCCATCTGCTCCTGGCTCCGTATACTTCTGCTTCCAAGGCTACCTCAGAACTCAGTTTCTCTTGGGACCACCCTTGACCAGTCTCCAGAAACTGATTGCTTATGAATTTTCTTCTTGGGGTACAGGACAGGGCCTCTCCCCTGCCTGGGGCCTTTCCATCCTTTTACACCAAAGAGCCTTATTTTGTTGTTGCTATTTTGCTTTGTAGATGCAACCAAGATCACTCTAGCGCCTTCGAGTGCTGACATCAACGTGGGTGATAACCTGACCCTCCAGTGCCATGCCTCCCATGACCCCACCATGGACCTCACCTTCACCTGGACCCTGGATGACTTTCCCATTGACTTTGATAAGCCTGGAAGTCACTACCGGAGGGCCAGTGTGGTAAGGCCAGAGGTCTCATAACTCTCTCTTCTTCCAGATAAGACAGGGGACCTGTTATATCCTCAGTCATCACCATCTTCAAGCCCTCAAAAATTCTCCCTAATGCCTGAGGCAGCGCCCAGCAAGCCCGTCCTGGGACTGACAGCCACCATTCCTAAATCCCCCCAATGCCTATTCTTCTGAGTTAGAATCAGCTTTAGCATTATGAGTGACCCAGGAGTCCTCTCTGCTACTGTCCCTCTTCCCTGGTATAAATGTCATCACTAACTTGGCCCATGCAGGCTGTTTTATGTGTCACACTTTATTGTTCAGTGGTACCAAGTAGCTGATTCTTCCCATTGAACAGATAGGGAAACTGAGGCACAGCGGGCATACATGCCATACAGACAGAGAATCCGGGTTCTATTGATACTAGTCAGGGCTTCCTTCTGACCCATCATACCTTGCTGTTCCCTGTGCACAGAAGGAAACTGTTGGGGACCTGACTATCCTGAATGCCCAGCTACGCCACGGAGGGAAGTACATGTGCATGGCCCAGACAGTGGTGGATGGTGCATCCAAGGAGGCCACAGTCCTGGTCCGAGGTGATGGGAATCAGCTACCCCAGTTCCCCGAGAGGGTCTAGGCCTCTTCAGTCTCCCCACCTCCCGTCCCTCCCTGAAAGCTGGCAGAAGCCACAGAGATGGACACATCTGTTTAGTTCTTCTGTGATTCTTCGTGGATCCTAAATGAATAGAATGTTTCTTCTGAAGCCATACTCAAGAAAGAAAATGTCCTCTAAATGCCCCCAAGATTCTACCGAGTCTAGGAGTTCCAGATTTGGTGCTGGGAAATCTATACATCCCCTTATGGACAGTCTGTGACCCTCCAAGCCTGAGACATGTCCCTACCCACCATTCTCCTCTGTCCCTAACCTCTGGCTTCCCACCCAATATTTTTTGCCGTCTGGTGCTCCATCTAGATATTGAGCCAGGCCGAGCTGGGTACGGAGAAAACCCACTCACATTGGGAGCTGTCCACATCTGACCCAGTGTACTCTGCTTCTCGGTACAGGTCCCCCAGGTCCCCCAGGAGGTGTGGTAGTGAGAGACATCGGAGACACCACTGTCCAGGTTAGCTGGAGTCGTGGTTTTGACAATCACAGCCCCATTGCCAAGTACACGCTGCAAGCTCGCACTCCTCCTGCTGGGAAGTGGAAGCAGGTTCGGACCAGTAAGTGTGAGGCCCCACCGGGAGCAGTTTCGATAAATCCCCCACTGGGTGCACAGCAGGAGACAGGGAAGAGGGTCAAGAGCTGAGCCCAAGGCTTCAAAGAGAATTAAGTTTTGTTCTCTATCTCCAGGGAGCACCTAGGCAGGCAGGGAAGTAGTCATAACCAGTGGGAAGGTAAGGAGAGGATGAAGGAGGTACTTGGTCTGTGCCCTTGATGCCTTCAAAGGATCATTGCTGGAGATGCCAGCATGCTCAACATATGTGGAATGAGGGGCACACAGCATTAGCAAAGGCCCTGAGGCATCCGAGCTCAGCAGCTTTTCAGTCAGAGTGATTGAAAGCTTAGCATGTGGTAGTATCAGGATGAGGACAGAATATGAAGGTCACACAGGCCCAGAACCTGCCCTCATCCAACAAATAGGTGCTAGCCACTGACCCCTGGGGCCTTGCAGATCCTGTGAACATCGAGGGCAATGCCGAGACTGCCCAGGTATTGGGTCTCATGCCTTGGATGGACTACGAGTTTCGGGTTTCAGCTAGCAACATCTTGGGCACCGGGGAGCCCAGCGGGCCATCCAGCCGAATCCGGACCAAGGAAGCAGGTGAGTGTCTGGAGTTCTAGAGGAAGCGCTCAGCAGAGGGTGCCCTAGCAGAGCTGGAACTAAGTCCCAATCTGCTCACCAGTCCTGGGCTCTGATGTGAAGTTAGAGGTTACTGCATGGACCAAACTCCTTTCTGGAAAAAACACCTGCCGGTGGCAGATCTAGAATCATTGTTTCAGCCAAGTATCTAAAGACAGGAGAACTGGTTTGATCAAGGGAAGAAAGGTCACATTGGGAGAGCCTGGTCTTGGACCTTGAGCCATTTTTAAAGGTTTACACAAACTGCAGAAATCAGCTAATGAGGAAGATGTCTGTGAGCACGTGTACCCTTGTGTGGGCGTGTCCACACGTGCTGTGGGGTTCTAGGGGAGCCGTCAGATTCCAGGCCCGTTTTAGCTGGTATCTGTGGAGCAGAAGGGATAAACTGGGATGTCCCATCTAAGATGCTCTCTAGGCACGTGCTGGGAGATGTCCTCGCAAACTGCCCGCTAACATTAACACATCTGTGTTCCTTGGCCCTAACAGTTCCCTCAGTGGCACCATCAGGACTCAGCGGAGGGGGCGGAGCCCCTGGAGAGCTCATTATCAACTGGACTGTAAGTGGGCGGGGACAGAGAAGCAGGCAGGCGTCTTGCCTCTCAGGCGTCATGCTCCTTTTGCTCCCTTCCTAGTTTGTTTCCAAACACAGTGGCAGCAAGCAGAAAGGACCACTGAGTCTCTCTAGGAGGCTGGCGGCTTCCCTACCTCCCTTCTCCCCTTGCACCCGTAGCCTCTCACGAAACTCTTGAGAAGGCACGAGCATCCCAGGGCCACTCCTCTGGGTGAAGACTGGGCGGAGCCAGATGAATGGGCAGGGCCGCATACCCATGACCCCTGGCCCATACCATGCTCTTGCCCCCAGCCCATGTCACGGGAGTACCAGAATGGAGACGGTTTCGGCTACCTGCTGTCCTTCCGCAGGCAAGGCAGCTCCAGTTGGCAGACTGCCCGGGTGCCCGGTGCTGATGCCCAATACTACGTCTACAGCAATGACAGCATCCATCCCTACACACCCTTTGAGGTCAAGATCCGAAGCTACAATCGCCAGGGGGATGGGCCTGAGAGCCTCACTGCGCTGGTGTACTCAGCAGAGGAAGGTGGGCTGGTGGGCCTGGGAAGGAAAAGGGATGCCCTATGGGAGGAGAAACAAGCCTAGGGTATGCCTGGGGTCCCTGGGATCCCCCAAATCCTAAGCAGGTGTAGTCCTAGTCAGGGCAACTTTGTGGGACACTGGGGTGTCTTGGGAACGTATGCCCATTCTTTATTGGTCCCCAGAGCCCAGGGTGGCCCCTGCCAAGGTCTGGGCCAAGGGGACCTCATCCTCAGAAATGAACGTGAGCTGGGAGCCTGTGCAGCAGGACATGAATGGCATTCTCCTGGGGTACGAGGTGAGCACCAACTGGGGCTGAGAAGAGGTAAGGCTGGGCTCTCCAGAGTGGGCGGGAATATCTGCCAGCCTACTAGTCATTCCTCCTGGGATGGCTAATTCCTCAGCAAGAGGATCGTTTCCCCACCAGCCACCCACTTCCTCTTTCACTCCATACACTGGACACCTCCCTTGGACTGGACACTCAGTTGAGAGCCCACAGATGCAGGGCCTCATAGCCACGTGACCTTGCTTTCCCGGTCTGCTGACCTAGAGTGCAGGTTATCAAGCTAGAGTCTACCACAGGACCAGCCTGGGTGGCGGAGAAGCCTGAGGACTGGGTAGCCAAAAGCTTCACTGTACACGTTAACATACCTTGCCTGTTTTAGATCCGCTACTGGAAAGCTGGAGACAAAGAAGCAGCTGCTGATCGCGTGAGGACCGCAGGGCTAGACACTAGCGCCCGAGTCACTGGCTTGTACCCCAACACCAAGTACCACGTAACTGTGAGGGCCTACAACCGCGCTGGCACTGGACCAGCCAGCCCTTCAGCCGATGCCATGACCATGAAGCCCCGTGAGTGTCTGCCAGGTTAAGGAAAGTCGTGTGCCATGCCGTAGGGACTTGTAGGGGCTTTGTTTATCTAGTAATCCACTCGCCATTCCTGCCACATGGTCTGCACCAGGCAGAAGCAGGTCAGGGGACCCTACTGAAACATGGAAGTAGAGTCAGGCTTCTGGGGCCTCTTTCCCTTCTTCAACTTCTGTATTTTCATGGTGACAGCTTGCTCTAAGAATTCCTGCTATATGGGCAGGCATCAGAAAGGGGCTGGCTAGTGGGAAGGGGTGGCCATGGAAGCATATGGCAGTGTCTCCCATCTCCCCTCCCCTGGTAGCACCACGACGACCACCTGGCAACATCTCCTGGACTTTCTCAAGCTCCAGTCTCAGCCTGAAGTGGGACCCTGTGGTACCACTCCGAAACGAATCCACAGTCACTGGCTACAAGGTGAGGCAGGGGCACACGGAGCTGCCATCAGGAAGTAGTTATAGAGAGCTGCAACCCCTAGCAAGAAGGTCTGAGAAACAGGAGCGTGGCATTTGGGGTTAGGATGCCATGGAATGCAGGCGCTCTGGGTGGAGGCTATAAAAACAGGTGCGCGGTACAGCGGCTGAAGGGGCAGGGCGGCAATGGGCCGGGAGTCTGAGAGTTTACTGTTTGCATGCTTGCCTTCCACCTATGAGAAGCCTGGCTAGTGGGAAACTGAAGGGGGCAAAAAGGCAAAACCTCGAGGGTCCAGGAAGCCGTACCTGGAAACTTCTATCCTGCAGATGCTGTATCAGAATGACTTCCACCCAACTCCTACACTCCACCTCACCAACCAGAACTGGATAGAAATCCCAGTGCCTGAAGATATAGGGCACGCCCTGGTACAGATTCGAACCACAGGGCCGGGAGGGGATGGGATCCCAGCAGAAGTCCACATCGTGAGAAATGGAGGTACTGCCCCTCCCCTTCACCCTCTACCCCTCAGCAGTCCTGGTCCCTCAGATACTGGTGAAACAATTGTGTCCAGGAGCCGACTCTACTGTAGACTCCCAAAGAAAAAGGAAAAGGCAGGCAAGAATGAGTAGTGCCCATGTGGCTGTCCCGTCCCCACCCCAGAACCACCCCAAGGCACAGAAGGGAGTGTACCTCTTTTATGGAATGCAAGGGGGCTGGGGACCAAGAGCAAAGGCCCCGGCCAGTGCTGTATGTATGGGTAAAGCCAAGAACACCGCTGGTGTTCAGCTCTTCACCTCTGTGTGCTCCTCAAGAGAGCTCTCGGTCCTACTGCGAGGGTGGGGTTGGGGACAGGGGGCTCCACCCCACAGTTTTCCCTTGCCGGTTTCAGGCACAAGCATGATGGTGGAGAATTCTGCAGTCCGCCCCACCCGTCCTGGCCCCTTGCTCTCCGGTGTGGTGATACTGATGCTCACTGGCTTCCAGAAGCTCTGATCTGATCACTGCCTGCCACACCCAAGCTGGACACCCGCCCTAACGGACACAGCCCCCCCTCTGACGCCAAGGTTGTCTAACACTGTGCCTGAGAGTGGTTGGCTTAGACCCAACAGTACCCTTTATGTAGGAGGTAGGGTATCTCTATTCTGCCGCAGGATAGAAACCATGCAAGGAATTTTTCTTTGAATCAGGAGGCACTGGGCAGTGACTTTCATGATTAACACTAGGCCCAATGCCTGGACCCCTTGGGGTCCTGGACAGAATGAACAGGCCTTTGGACAGAAGGCATTTGATATACATCTTCAGATCAAGCAGATGGCCCTCTGGGGTCACACGTGGGCACTGCCATCTGAGACAAAGGTTCCAGGCCCAGCAGGAACATAGACAGCAGCAGGCTGAAAACATGGTCTATAAGTTTCCCTCTCTGGAGCAGAGGGACCTGCCTTCTAGTCCTCGCTGGAGAAGCAGCGCAGCTGGTCCCGGCCTGGTCTTCCATGGCTCCCAGGCAGTCCTTCCTGTTTGGTAGCCAACAACCAGACCCCAGGTTACTGGGGAGAGGAGCTCCAAAGGGTTGAGAGGCTACAGCCCCTGATGGAAAGGGTACCAGCCTGGGGCCAAGGTCTATTCATCATGCAGGTGGCACTGCCCTCTCAGCCAGCACTGCCAACCCAACCCTGTCACCCTCCAGACTGGATGACGGAGTGATGGAGCCACTCTAGGTGGCTAGGGGACTAAAGGGCTTGTCTTGCGGTGTTGCCTTGCCCCATTGAGATGCCTCCTTTCTGGCCCCTCCAGGGTATGGGCAGGAGCCCAGCTGAATGCCACTCTTCCCTTCAGCTCTGCCACAGACGTATGCCTGCCTCCACCTCCCATAATTGCAGGCCCTGGAAACCAACCCTCAACACAGCATCCATCCTCCCTCTGTCCTGGGATGGAAAGGCCTCTGAAATGGGCCAGCATTGATGTGGCCATGCCTGCTTCCAGGAGTACCTTCCACCACCTGACCACAAATGCTCCCTAAGCTGCCTAGATTACTCTCTCAAGTCCCCAGAAGAAAAGGGGGTTAATAAAGGGGGCAGCCTACCTTGAGTTCGGGGTACATTACCAGTGCAGACCAGACTACCAGAACTGAGGAGGCCTTATAACTCAGCTGACCCATACTCGGTCCTTAACAGATGAGGAAATGGAGGTTCAGAGGGGCTTAGGGACTTCCTACGGTCCCATGACCTGTAAGTGACAAGACTTGGTCAAGCACCAGAGTCTCCTGCCTACCTGTGGGAGGCATCCTTGTCACTAAGGTGGCCGAGCCTCCGGAGGATGAGCCCTCTGCTTCGAGAGGTCCCGGCTGTGAGAAGATCAGCGTGGATGAGGCAGACTTCTGCTGGGAACTGAGGAAGTGATGCTGGCCGGAAGCTTCTCAGGCCCTCCAAGAAGAGAGGCCAAAGCAAGGACAAGAGTTCCCGAGACCAGGACCCTGAGGCAGCATGGCCAGGAAACCCCGGTGTCCACACCTAGGCCCACAAGAACTGCAGGGCAGGCGTCTCAAGAGGCAGCTGCCCTGTTGCTCCATGGCCCATTTCTGTAGTTTACAGTTAGAGCTCTATTTTGTTATGGGTTTTTAAACTTTAAGCCTTGCTCTGTTTTCCTGGGCAGGTTTATGTTAGGATTTACCCACCACAATTTTTTAAAGACGTACACTCACACACCTCCTCCCTACTGCCCCCAATCCAACCCCTAACTAGGGACTGCTTTCCTGGAACTGATCAAATTCCCCTCTCCTGCTCCTGGCACCTCACCTACAAGGGTGCTAGGGGCTCAGCCATGTGATCATTCTCCCTCACCAGGGCCCCAAAGTTAGTGTAGCATCTGGAAAGGGGAACGGAAAGAAACCCTCCAAGGTTTATCTATTTCCCACTGCCTTGGGCTGCAGGAGGGATGCTAGAGAAGATAGCCAGTGGCTGGGCAATTAGGATTGTAGAGAAGTGGGTATCTAGAGCGAGCTGGTTTGGCATTGGACCTAGCTCGGGAGGTGGGAGGAGGCTGCCCCTTTTCTTCTGACAAGGTCCATGAAAAGCAGGCAGGCTGCTGGGAGACCCGAGAAGACTTAGCCCTGGGCAGGCAGAATTTGTTTGGGGGGATGCAGAGTGGTGCCAGCCATCTGGGGTAGTCTGGGGGCTCCAAGTGGAGTGTTAGTGACAGCATCACAAGACCAGAGGTGACTCACTTGTAAATAGAAAGACTCTTGTTGAGGAAACTTGGACCCTGACTGGCTTAGAAAAAGAGGGCTAGATTAAATGGCTTCTCAGACTTCCTGGCCAGGCTTGGGAGGTTGGTGGGCTTGCTCCTGCTGTGGTCATGACTGTTAGGTTCCATCCATGCACATTAAACTACAAGAGGTAAAAAGGGACAGCCACAAATAAGTACTCTGCAGATGTCTCTTGAGGGACAGGGAAGTGCTCTGTTCTGTCCGTACAGGGGCTCAGGCCATCACTGAGCTATCTGCTCCTTGCCATGTGATGGTGTCTGATGGTGTGGATGAAGATAGTGGTTTTGCCAACCCGGGTGGCAGGTGACTTCCAACAGCAGGGGAGCAGGGAGGCTATGGGGCTTGGCAAAGGACAGGAGAGGACAAAGCCAAGGGCGGAAACGCCTGAAGGAACGAGGAAGGGGCTTCTTTTGAGTAAGCTCTGAGGAATTCTGAGTGCTCTCGCAGGATCTTGGATGGGTGAAGTCCTGACTGAAGGGGTGGGAGGTGCTGAGTCCTTTTGGAGCTGAGATCTTAAGAATCAAAATGCCTAACACAGGAAAGCCTTAGCGGTGCCATCTGCTATGGTCCCCACAGCTTAACAAAGCCATCAAAGGGACTCATCCACCACAGAGCAGTCCTTACCCACTAGTGCCTTCCCCCATGGGCAATGCCTCTCCACAGTCCCCAAAGCCATCCTTGCCTGTGCTCTGGCCAAGAGCTCAATGTGGCTAATGATGTTTTCCTCCCCTCATGCCTTTTCCAGGGGCACCATTCTTTTCCTAGTGTCGAATAGTCAATAGGACTCCTGCATGCCAAGGGACAGCGGTGTGCTCATACCTGTTACTAGTTCAAGTGTGGTGTCCTGTCTCGCTAGCCGAGACCAAACCTGGCAAGGGGTCTCTGGATAGGATTAAGTGGGACCCTAAAGGATGTCAAGAAGCTCACTGGAAACAGTGCTGGGAGCTGGGAATGGGGTTGTACCTCTTGAACCTGTACATATGATCACAGCCTCTGGGAAAGCAGGGCTTTAAAGGAAAACTGTAGAGGAACAAAATAGGCCAGTCAGCTTTGTCCAGGTCCAGGAAGCCCCAGCGGCCTACGGCCTACAGTTTCTTTAGAGGAGACTCCACCTACCTTGGCACCAGATGCCTCTAAGTCAGCCCTCACTTCAGAGCCTGGACAGCTCTGATCTCGGGGCTTCGTTAGCCCACGGATGATAGTTCCTGTTCAGATGCGACCCCTCCACCCCAGCCCGCTGTTCACTCTTGTAATAGTTATTTATTGATTCTGGTAGCAAGCAATTCTTAAATAAAGGTGTTTTCTCAACCTGCCTGGGCAGCTGGCAGTGGCTGCGGTCCTCATCACCTCACTAGAGCGTCCCGGGCCTGTTCTGCAACTCGTACATCCGCCTTTCACGTGGCTAACTCTGAGGACGCTGTACACAGTGCAGACCGCTTCCTCTAACCTGGAGGAAGACAGGCCAGGTGGCTGGCGGTCGGGCACCTGAGCAGGTCTCACCTAACATACTTGGAGGTCAGAGACACTTTCGGGTCCCCTGACAGTACATTTGACATGTTGACTCTCTTATCCCAAAGGAAGTCCCCTCCATGAAGAGATTAATGACCCCGACTGGTAAGGAGGTGACTGTTGCTTCTGATCAATCAGGGTGGCTCCAAGAGGTGGAACTCCTAGGCTTGACACAGCAGATGGCATTCCAGGCGAGCTCCTGCAGGATCACACTCAGGCAGTCCTCATTCAAACGTCACTGGTGTCAAGTGAGTAGGATGTCATGCTGGGTCCTGAATTGGCAGGGGGCTTGCTGCAGAAAGCACGTGCAGATCCAAGTAGGATCGTGCTAAGTTTCCCAGGCTGGCCATGAGCGTCCTGTGTAGACTAGACTAGCCTTGAACTTGGAATTCTGCCCCAGTCTCCTGAATAGCTAGGATTACAGGAATGTAACCATGTCCAGTTAGAACTAAGTTATCATCTTTACAAAACCCATCTGAAAGTCTTTTGTTCTCTTCTCTGCTCAATTGCTTCAAATTCTGAGTCAAAATTCAAGAGCCCAAGGCATGCAGAGAAGGCTATGTACCGAGCTATCCTATCCACCTCATGTCTGACTACTGGCCTGCAACAGAATGCAGGGAACGTGTTAATATCTGGTCCTAAGGGGTTTCCATCTACACAGTGTGAAGCAGGACCCTTCAGCGGTGTGTTACCGAGTTTACTGGAACGGAATCCTTCAAGGTCCTCTTTAGAGTGAGCTATCCTTGAATGTTTCCGCAAACTGCCTAGGACTAAATGACATTCCCCAGACCCAGGACTTTACTTTACAAAACAGCTTCCCTTGGGGGAGCTCCTTGGGCCCCCACAAACACCTGTGTCAAAGCTGAGACTGGTTTTGTCGTATGGCTGACAACAGAGCAGGGCCAGAACCAGGTCTTCTGAAACCCATCCTTTCTGGGGTGACAGACAGGTGTAACATCTCAGCCTCCTGGTGTGACACAGTATGTACCTGTGTAGGGCTCTTCTCAGAATGTCGGAGTCACTGCTCATGAAGCTAATCGCAAGGACATGGGGCAAGTCCAGGCTGTGGGACAGCATGCAGACTACTGGACAAGCCTGGCTCTCCAGTGCACCAATCATAAGGAACAACGGGAAGAACTCGCTAGGAGACTGCAGAGACAAACACTGAATGCAGAACATGCATCTCTGGTACCGGATTACAATTACACTAAAAAGCTTTAAAGTTTTGAAAATGAAAACTGGACGAAAGCCGGGTGGAGGACCAGCAACTGCTCAGTTGGCAAAGCGACTGCTGCACATGCACAAGGCCCTGAGGACATGAAAATCTGGGTACAGGGATGCACACTGGGAATCCCAGCACTGGGAGGTACGGGGACGCACACTGGGAATCCCGATACTGAGGAGGCACGAGACGCACACTGGGAATCCCAGCACTCGGGAGGAATAGGGATGCACACTGGGAATCCCAGCACTGGGGAGGTATGGGGACTCACACTGATAATCCCAGCCCTGGGGAAGCAGAGACAGGTGGATCCCTATGGCCCAGTGGCCAGCCAGCCTCGCCTCATCTGTGAGCCCTGTGTCTCAGCAAAAGACCCTGTCTCAAAAATAAACAACAAAAGAAACAAAAACCCACAGTGGATGCCATCTGAAGAATAACCAAGGTTGACTTTGGCCTCTACACCGCGCACGCTCAAACACACACAGAGGCAAGAAATAGTCATCTGTTTGTCTAGTTTTCAAATGATTCTACAATATCAATATACACTTTGGACTCTTCTGAGAAAAGGTTAAGAACTGATGAATCTGGGCAGTCTGTGGGTGGTGTGTAGGTTTGAGTGAGCCATCCTCCTTAAGTCTCAAACATCTCGCACTCAGTGGCTGTTTGGAAAGGATAAGTGTGACCTTGATGGAGGAAGTATGTCACTGGGGGTGGGCTTTGAGGTCTCTCTCTCTCTCTCTGCCTGCTGCTTTAGCCCCCGCTGCAGTTACTTCTGCTATCAGGACTCTGTCCCCCTTGGACTGTAAACCCCAAATAAACTTTTTTCTCTAAGTTGCCCGTTTTGTGGTGTTTTAGCACAGCAACAGAAATGTAACTAATATAGGTAGTCACTAGACCCTGTAAAGTTAAAAGTAAACATTAGTCATCCTTTGCTCAGAACTTGAACTGAATTAGAGTCCCAGGGCTGGGGCTAAGGAATGTTTAGTGTTCGGAGCTATCCAGGTGACTCTGGCACAGCTACCAAAGAGAGCAATGGTGCCGGAGAATTGTCTGTATTCTGTCAATCATGATTTAAATAAATGCTGATTGGCCATTAGCCAGGCAGGAAGTATAGGCGGGAAAACCAGACAGGAAGTAGAGGTGGGGCGATGAGAACAGGAGTATTCTGGGAAGGAAGCTCTTTCCCAGTCCTGCCCAGGCGATGGAAGAAGCAATATGTGACCCGCCCCGCTACGTTTTAGCTCTTACAACGTATACCAGCCTGAGCTAATGGGCCAATCAGTTTATATCTAATGTAGACTCTTTATGTGATTTTCTCTGGGACTAAACGGCTGGGGAACGGGGCGGGACAGAAACCCCAAAGAGCCCAGCCCTCGTGAGCAGGGCCTCAGGACTCTGCCACTCCTGCAGGTAGACAGAGGGGAGAAGAAATGCTATCTCGCTCTCAGCTGGCCCCAAGGGTTCCATAGGCCAATTATCTCAGACTCTGTCTAAATGATCCTCAAAAGCCTTAAGACTGGATTTCCTAAGGGGAAAACGAAGCAATGGTCCTCCCCTGAGGATCTTGGTGGCTGTAAGAAACCAGTACACTTGGCCTTTCCAAGAACACAAACCCTAGATATATATAGTGCAAAGAGGAGGAGCAAGACAAAGGATTGTTGCAATAAACAGGACATTCAATTTGATACTGAATGAGCTCAGAGGGCCATCTAGGGAGGACAGGGAGGGCGGGGAACCCCTTAACACTAAGATGTCTATCAGCTGGGTCAGGTGTCACTGCTCACCTTTCTAACACACAGGCAGCCAATACAAAGCAATCTGTCCCAAGCATGCTGTAGGAAACCCAAGGAAAATGAGAACCAGGCCAACTGAGGGACAGTTTCTACATGTGAGAAACCTTAAATAAAATAACAAAGGGTTAAGTTGCCATACAGTTACTGTTAATTGTTTTTATTGAACAAAAATAAAAAGTTTCCACCCAATCTGCTAATAGTACATTCTGGTCCATACACACTGTTCAGAGGTGGAGTGGAGGTGACGGCACATACACCGTGAGGTATGGAGAGGAAAGCAAGCTTGGAAGACACAACTCACCTAGGAAGAGAAGCAAAAGCTGCAGTGGGTCTCCTGAGCAGCCAGTATGAGAAAACCTGCTGCCCTGCATAGTGGTATGGGGAAGAAGCCGCATCCTCCAAGCCTCCTAGCCAACTATGGCTCTGAGAGGCCTCTCTTGCCACACTCATGTATAGGCTGGCTGAAAGGTTACAGGCTGCTAAGGCTGTTGTGGTCATCAACCCTCTTCAGCACGCTGTGGACAGCAATGCTCACTAGCACGCCGCCAACCACACCACAAGCAATCCCTATGCCCAAGGCTGAAGCTACCTTCTTTTGCCACTTTGGTAGGTGCGGCTTAGAATGGTTGTCCAGATTAACTTCCCAGCCGGCATCGACTAACTTCTGGTCCTCGGTAAGGGACTGATGGAAATTCAGGTTTACCAGCTTTGGAGGGAGGACCCTCAGCCCAAAGTAGAGCCTCTTGACAAATCTCAAGTTTCTGAGCAGCTGCACATCACATCGGTATGTCCCCGAGTCGTACTCATAGGCGGGGTGAAATCGCAGAAAGTGAGAGTTGGCTCGGAAGGGTTTGAAAATCTCATCATTAGTAGAGATGATGCCCCGAGCAAGCTTCCAGGTAAAGCGGAAAGCTTCCTGTCCCACCTCCAGGATGTCTGCACTGAGACAGCTCAGCTCAAACTCCTCCCCATGGACAATGGTGAAATGGAGCATCCCACAGATCCAGTTGGCCAGACACTCCAAACGCTGGGCCTGGCACTTCCTCCTCACTCCATCAGGGCCCACCTCGCAGACAGTCTCCTCCTTATAGCCAAGGCCACAGGTAACAGTGCAGGCCGTGGCATTGACAATGACTCTCCCCACAGCTTGCTGTAGCTTCTCAGGGATGGCAAGTGTTTTAGGCGATGTCAACATCAAAGGCAGGTGGGTTATCAATACCAGACTCCCAAGGATAAGACGAGGGGCCCCAGTCTTCATGTCTCAGTAGGCAAGTTACCAGCAGGCATTCCAAACAAACACTACACCGTAACACAGATCCTCCAGCTTGAAATAACCCTTAGCGTTGAGAGATTAGGATGCATTGCTGTCAGCAAAACAGATACATGCGTGCGTGTGCACAGAAGTGCAGCCCTTCTTCCCAGGGGAGCACAAGCAGAGGGAAAGACTTACACTACTGATGTCTGACTAGGCTTGCCAGGGCCATCCTCACAGCTGCCATCCTCGTCACTTCCTCCTAATGAATTTACACCCACAGGCTTGAGAACAAAAGAGGGAAAAGACCTCAGAAGCCGAAGTCCACCTCCACATTACCCCAAATGCACGAGTCAACTCTTTCCCTCCCTCCCAAACTGTGGGAGAGTTTCAAAGTCCCAAATCTGACCAAACACAGAAACTAGTCTTAAGGGAGGGGTGAGGTGGGGCTGGGTTGCAATGTTCATCTGAATACCCTGAACTCTCTATTGAGAATGTCCCTAAACCACAGCTGCTGAATAGATAACTCTGGACTTGACTCCCCAAATTTCCATTTTTCTTTCTTTGTAAGCTAAGATCGCCCTGTCCAGTTTCAGGAAGGTCGCTTTGAACAGTGCACTAAAAACACCCCCCCCTCCCCCGCAGTGTCAACTACTTCATTTGTAAAAACTTTTAAAGGACTGGGAAGCAAGGTGTGATGACACCTGGAGGCCAGGGGCAGGGTTGCTGACAAATTCAAGGCCAGCCTGGGCTACAGGAAGAGACCGCTGCTCTCAACAGAAAAGAAGCAGCTCAACAGAGTGCTGGCAGAGTGATTGCCCAGCGTGTAGGAAGCTCTAGGTTTGATTCCCAGCACCACACAAACTGGATGTGGCAGCAAATTCCTTATCCCAGCAGCCAACAAGATCGGAAGTTCCAGGCATTTTCAGCTACAGAGGAGTTAGAGATACTAAAAGGTGTGTGTGTGAAAATTTAACCTAACACACCCTTCCAAAGGAGCAAGTGAGACTGCGGCGGAGGCAGCCCAGAGGCAGCTGTCTTGTTCCAGGTACTTTCTTTCCCAAGGGAACCAGGATGCTGAAGCTGCTTGACTCTAGAATGTTCTATTTACCTTGCAGAACAGAGGAGCTCACTGTTTGTTTACATCACTGAAGGTTGCTATGAAACAACTATGATGATAGAGATGGGTTCTTAGCGACAAGACAGGATGATTAGTAAGTAGACTGATTTGGTATTTGTTAAAACAGTACCACCAGCCGGGCGATGGTGGCGCACGCCTTTAATCCCAGCACTCGGGAGGCAGAGGCAGGCGGATCTCTGTGAGTTCGAGGCCAGCCTGGTCTACAAGAGCTAGTTCCAGGACAGGAACCAAAAGCTACGGAGAAACCCTGTCTCAAAAAATCAAAAAAAAAAAAAAAAAAAAAAAAACCAACCAGTACCACCAGAGCAGTGGTTCTCAACCTGTGGGTCACAACTCCTTCGGGTACTGAACGACCCTTTCGCAGGGGTCATTTACCAGATATACTGAGTATATCACGATTCATAATAGTAGCAAAATTACAGTTATAAAGTAGCAACAAAAACAATCTAAAGGTGGAGAGGGGTCACCACAACAGATGAACTGTACTAAAGGGTTGCAACCTTAAGAAGTTTAAGACCCAAGGGAACTAGAGTTCTGAGACATCTTATTCTTATGAGACAGTGAATATTCAATATGAATGTTAAAGTTACTTAATCAGAGAAAATGACTATCAAGAAAGAGTGTAACTATATTTAGGCTAACAAAGACCTTGGAAGGCTAGACCCTCCAAGACATGTTACTGTAACCTCTCAGAATGCCTAGCACTGTGGCCTCTTCAAAGCTTGTACTGAGTTAAAAAAGATGACTTTTTTTTATTAACACCAGCTTTTAGCTCAAATCATTTATTTCTAGTTTGTACAAAGGAAGAAATCCAAACTGCCTGACCTTTCCAGACCCAAATGACCAGAGAAAGATCTAAACTCCACACTTAAATTCTATAAGCCACAAAACGAAGTGGCTGCTGAGTTCCAAAGGTAGGCATCTTACAAACATCTGTACTTGTGGTTTAATAAACATCCCATTTTATTTACAAAGCATTAAAGCTTTAGCAAGAAGTACCCAAGGCTAAGTCTCATCTTGTACAAAACTACAGAATATTTTAAGAAACAAAATGGAGAGGCAGGGGAGACAACAAAAAGGAAAAGAGAATATACATATATTACACAAATCAAAAATCCTAGCTCGAAGTAGACGGAAGGTTTTTGAAATGAAAAAAAATTCCAAAAGTATAAATAATGATTAGGAGCTGCTGTCAGAGACAATCTGGCAAGGCCTGAGCTGATTGTCTCAGTAGCCAGGTAAAGGAAACAGACGCAGCACTAGCATCCAGATGGAGGAAATCAAGCCCCTTCACACAGAGAAGGCAGAAATCCTTGTATTGGTTTGCACACTACTGTGGGGTGCTGTACAGAGAGACACGATATGAAGAGAATGTCCACAAATAAAAATGTGTCCTGTGACCCACTTACCAATCACAACCATTGGTCTCTCTCACACTCGAGGAAGCAGCACCAGCAATGACTCTGGGGACTTCCTGCACTGTCCACTGTCACTTCTACCCCACAATATAAAGTAATCAACGGGTTTGGCTATCTGAAGGAGCCTTCACCAACTGATAGAGATTTCACAATTAGCACAGTATTTAACCCCCTTTCAATGCTGAGAAAGTATGACCCATGGCAAGCCAAAAGCTTACTAATTAACCCTTTCCACACTTGGCTTCCTG